TGCCGAGCAGAAGGCACGTGCTTTAGGCTCAGTTGTTCGCTTAGAAAACTGAGTGAAAAGCATCAGAGCCAACGAAGGCCGACACAAGGCACCGCTCGCCAAGGGGATTCGCCAGTAAAAACAATTAATTTGTTTTTGCAATATCTCAGCCGTTTCTGGGCCGATTTAGCTGAAACTTGGACTGTCGGTGGTAGTGTAGTGTAGGGTAGGGTAGGGTAGGGTAGGGTAGGGTAGGGTAGGGTAGGGTAGGGTAGGGTAGGGTAGGGTAGGGTAGGGTAGGGTAGGGTAGGGTTGTGTAGGGGTAGGGTAGGGTAGGGTATGGTACGGTAGGGTAGGGTAGGGTAGTGTAGGGGTAGGGGTAGGGTAGGATAGGGTAGGGTAGGGTAGGGTAGGGTAGGGTAGGGTAGGGTAGGGTAGGGTAGGATAGGGTAGGGTAGTGTAGGGAGTGTAGGGGTAGGGTAGGGTAGGGTAGTGTAAGGGTAGGGTAGGGGTAGGGTAGGGTAGTGTAGGGGTAGGGTAGGGGTAGAGTAGGGTAGGGTAGATTAGGGTAGAGTAGGGGTAGTGTAGGGTAGGGTAGGGTAGGGTAGGGTAGGGTAGGGTAGGGTAGTGTAGGGGTAGGGTAGGGTAGAGTTAGGTAGGGTAGTAGGGTAGGTTAGGGTAGTAGGGTAGCGTAGGGTAGGGTAGGGTAGGGTAGGGTAGGGTAGGGTAGGGTAGCGTAGGGTAGGGTAGGGTAGGGTAGGGTAGGGTAGGGTAGGGTATGGTAGGGTAGGGTAGGAGGGTAGGGCAGGGTAGGGTAGGGGTAGGGTTGAGTTCAAAAAGGGCCCAACATACAAAACACTTGAACACCCCGCAACTATCACCATCCCTTACAGTTTTAAAAACAGCTACCCAAATCTACCTAAATAATATAGCTAAAAATACAAGTCAATCACCCAAAACTAATGCACCCGTAACATAACATAAATCAAAACATACAGTTATCGCGTGAACCTGTACTACCTCTAGTAAATCCTAAAAAGTCCGCCCACGCCGTCGGGGTTACTCCCTAAAAGGCTTATTACGGTGCCGTCGATTGACGCAGGAGGGTGAAATTTTTACCACTCGTGGGTCACGTGATTCAACAGGTCGTATTAACCTTCGCCCCAGTGGGGGGGGGCATATGTTACCACCCTGTCGCGTTTTTCGCGTGTGAATAAAAAACCGCGGCGCGTAGCGCCGCGCCGCTTGGGGTAGCTTTTGGTACATCAATTTTGGACAATGTGTGAAATTTTTGACCCCAGGTCATGTTAGGTCAGGTCACCAGGTCAAGTTAACTGACCAAGCCTAAAAAAAGTTTGCAATCATGTCCAGCCTGCAGTGTTTGTCAGAAAGGTTTTAAACTTCGTGGATTGCATGCTGTTATGGGCGCCTACAATTTGTATATCTCGGATTTTTTATATCCGTGACCTAAGGTCAGGTCAGTGGCGTGACCTTTCCATTACAAGTCAATGGAGAAAAATGAAAATGCCTCTAGATCCGTGTGTACGCATAGGAACAGTCCAAATATTTCAGAATCACAATGATTTAGTCCACTCGTGATGACCAAGGTGTCATTTTTGCTGATAGCCTCTACAAAGGTCATCCGAGGTCATTTGAGGCTACAAACAGTTTTTTGCCAATAACTCGCGATTGGAAAGAGATAGAACGCTGGGGATGGTCTCATTGTGTTTGTCTCGTTACGACGCATCGACTGATATGCAACATGACCTTTTCCGGTCAGGTCATTACCTTGACCTGAGGTCAAATTTTCAAGTTGACCTTTCAAGGTCAAATCATAGTTCATTCGACGCGTCTCGGCGAGGGGAACACGATTCTGGCAATAGAAATGTCGTGGCTTTTTGTAGTCGAAAGTTATTGTCGAAAAACACTTTTCGTAAAAACAGCTATTTTTTGAGTTTTTGCCCTCTAGAGGCTAAACCGTTGACCTGAGGTCAATATTGATAATGACTTTGTCAAAAGAGGAGTTCAAAAGCTATCGATTGCTCTTTCATGCGTTTTTCTAGCTACCATAGTTCCTGAGATAGCGGCATGTTTTCTGAAAAATATAATGACAATTGGCAAATTTTGACCTTTGATGACCTCTGGTGACCCCAATATTGCTTTAAGGTGAAAAATGACCGAAATACTTTCAAACGTACGCAATGAGAGCTATCGACTGCTTTTTACCGCGTCTTTCTAGCCCTCTTAGTTTTTGAGTTAGAGGTGGGTGGTAACATATGCCCCCCCTCACTAGGGCGAAGTTGGCTGAGACCGCCACTGGGGCGCGGGTTAAATTTTGGGCACGATGCGGCCGGGGGTGCGTCCGTGGCGCGTGCTCATGTGCGCCATAGGGTTAGCATTAGAATCGCGACCGGTGCCGAGCAGAAGGCACGTGCTTTAGGCTCAGTTGTTCGCTTGCAAAACTGAGTGGAAATAATCAGAGCCGGCAGGTCATTGACGACAACGAAGGCCGACATAAGGCACCGCTCGCCAAGAGGATTCGCCAGTAAATACAATTAATTTGTTTTTGCAATATCTCAGCCGTTTCTGGGCCGATTTAGCTGAAACTTGGACTGTCGGTGGTAGTGTAGTGTAGTGTAGGGTTGGGTAGGGTAGGGTAGGATAGGATAGGGCATGGTAGGGTAGGGGTAGGTTAGGGTAGGGTGGTGTAAGGGTAGGGTAGGTTAGTGAAAGGGTAGGGTAGGGTAGGGTAAGGTAAGGTAGGGTAGGGTATGGTAGATTAGGGTAGTGTAGAGTAGGGGTAGGGGTAGGGCAGGGTAAGGTAGGGTAGGGTAGGGTAGTGTAAGAGTAGGGTAGGGTAGGGTAGTGTAAGGGTAGGGTAGGGTAGGGTAGCGTAGGGTAGTGTAGGGGTAGGGGTAAGATAGGGTAGGGTAGGGTAGAGTTGGGTAGGGTAGTAGGGTAGGGTAGGGTAGGGGTAGGGTAGGGGTAGGGTAGGGTAATGTAGGGGTAGGGGTAGGGTAGGGTAGGGTAGGGTAGGTTAGGTTAGGGTAGTGTAGGGGTAGGGGTAGGGTAGGGTAGGGTAGGGTAGGGTAGGGTAGGGTAGTAGGGTAGAGTAGGGTAGGGTAGTAGGGTAGGGTAGGGTAGGGTAGGGGTAGGGTAGGGTAGGATAGGGTAGAGGTAGGGTAGGGGTAGGGTAGGGGTAGGGTTGAGTTCAAAAAGGGCCCAACATACAAAACACTTGAACACCCCGCAACTATCACCATCCCTTACCCTTCTAGGCGGTGGGGGGGCATTTTTTGCCCCCCCCCCTTTAGTTTTTTTCGATATATCTCTAGAACCGCTGCGCCGATCGTCACCAAACTTTCAGTACCCTCCCGGGAGTAGCTAGCGCACATGGCGACTAATTTTTTTTTTCCAAAGGCTATGATAGGTCGACCGCTAATGACGTCAGAGTGACGTCATTTTTGCCATTTTCGACCCAAAAAAAGGTTTCGCGGGAAGAGCTCTCAGGCCTACAGCTTTAGAGATACAGAAAAATGTTCAACATAAAAGGTGTGGAATCAAAAGGGCTACAAAACAGCTATTTCGGTGTTTTGATTTTTTTTGGATTTTGACCCCCAAAAATCAAAAATAGATTTTTTAAATATAACAGCCGAAAAATCCAAACAGTTTTTTGAATTTGGAAAACAACGGAATATATGTGATAGTCCCTACCGCCTTCTATCTACATATCAAATTTGAGATCAATACCTCTTTTTTTGGCCAAGTTATAGCGAAAAAAAACTCCAAAATTGATGACGTCAAATTTTCAAACTCAATTTTTAGCAATTCTCTCCTAGCGCAAAAACCTCGTAGCGCAAAACAAAGACCACCATTAGACTCCCCGTGACGAGCTGCATCGAATCGATACCCATTTTATGCAAAAATATCAACTTTGAAATTTGACCTTTTTGACCTGACCTTGACCTGACCTCCCCCAGAAAGTGACCTAAACTGTACCTGATGGTCTTATAACCAACACCATTGAGTTGGAAATGAAAAACTGGCCATAAAACATGCATCGCACAACCTTAGTAAAGTTGGGTTCATGTGGTGACCCTTGGTGACCTTTGGTGACCTGACCTGTGACCTGACCTGGTATGACCAGTGACCTCTAATAGCAACATATGTACTAGACAACTGACACCTTATCGCTGATTTTCGACAAAATGCGTTTTACTCGGTGTTATAGCGCTTTCCCTAGAAGCCCCGTGAACGGTGAAACATTTTATCTTTGACCTGACCTGTGACGTCATCGGTGACCCCGAGGTCAATGAAATTTGGTTTCCCTTCACAAATTTGACAGGGCTATCGAACGCCGTTTGAATTTTCCGGATCCCTCCAGTAGTTTCGGAGATACGAGGGGGCATTAGGGGGGCATAAAAATGCCCCCCCCCCCCACCGCGCGGAAGTTACTGTTGTAGTTTGCAAACTACATGCAGAAAACATTTTCCCGCAAAAACGTCAAATTTGGAGTTTTTGTCCCCTGGAGCCTAAGGCGCTGGCCCAACGGGTTAGGCTCCCGAGCGGGGGGAGCGGCCGGGCACCGAGACCCCCCCCCCCTGGGTGCGTCACTGCCGTTGGGCGTCGACCTTAGGTCAAATATGGAACAATATTTAAAAAGAACTTTGAAAGAGCTGTCGAATGCACTTTTCCTCGGCGCTGTAGCCCTCTGGGTTCCCGAGTTATGCGTCATAGTTATGCAAAAAAAAATTCAATGTGGAGAAAATTAGTGATAGCTTTACCCTTGGTGACCTTCAGTGACCTCAGGCGCTGAATTGATCGAAAAAGCTGAGTAACTCTGAAAGATCTTGTAGCGAGCTATTTATTGTTTCTTTTCCAGCCCTTCTAGCTATCTTACATTTCGAGATAACCTGGTTTGACTAAATAGCCCCCGCCCCCTCCCCCCACCCACCCACCCCCAACGTGGCAAAGTTGGCTGAGAGGCCCACCCGGGTCTTAACGACGAGAAAGCTACTTACCGCACTGTCCACTTTGAACTTGGCCTCTTCTACGACGTCCATACACTTTTTTCGGGTATTCTCATCTTCTAGCGCCTTGTAAGCCTTGTTGATAACTGTAGGAAAAGAGCAATATTTTCAGACCTGGCCTCCGGGGCAGCGTCAGAGAACCACAGGGCGGGGCCAAAAAGGCCAGAAACCCCGCAGGGCGGGGCCCCAGGCTTTCCAGTTTTACGCCCCTTCGGGGTATCTGAATATCGTCTTCTAACCTGACTCCTGGGTCACGTAGCGACAAGTGCGGCGGTAGCCGAGAGCGTCGAAAGTCATGAAGAAATTACTTCAGTCATGTTGCAGTTCAGACCAAAATCCACCTCATGATGTTTTCCGTATGGCGGTGACACGGCGGCTCTTCGCTCACAGAGGGACGCGCTGCCGCGGGAATTGACGAGTTCGGCGTCCCGGGCGCCACTGGAGCGCCATTTTTGTCCCGGCTGACGCTGCTGTTTTATACTGACCTGTGAGTTTTACTGTTTTATTATGTCGTGTAATGTATGCTGCCTTTATTGATGTAACTGACTAGGCCATAATAGCCACTGAATGGTGGATAAGCCTTATAATAAATGACAAATGACAAATGACAAATGTTCATCGAAGGAAAAGTTTCGCCTGAATTTAGGGCCTTGGTTTCGCCTATCTCGACACTCGAGAACAAATAAATATATAGCGCTCTAAAAAGTGGGTTCGATATCTCCATAAGACCCGCACTCTTCCATGGTGGGGGGGGGGGGGGGGGGGCGTGTTGGCCACACTCGATCATCTAACAAAAGCTTAAAAAGGCTAGAAAGACGAGGAAAAACAACGGATAGCCGTAGAAAGCTTCAGAATCGTAGAGGTCATTTTTCGGGTAGGCCGTCGCTAAGGTCACATATAAAATATGATAAAATCATGATAAACACAAAGATAAAATTACGACGAAAACATTGCTGTTTTATATATTTTCATAAATTAGCGTATAACTTCTGAGCCAAAAGAGCTAGAGTTTCGCGGAACAACTCATTCGATAGGTCTTTCAAAATGCTTTCGCTTTTAAGATTTGACCTCAATGCCTCATGTCAACGGTTTCGCAACAGAGCACCATCTAAATAGTCGCATTTGCCAAAATAATTTTGCTATAGAATTTTTGCATGAACTTTGATATGAAAAAATATGAGACCTTTATTTTGTCATCATTTTCTCGTTAACATGCATCGAATGAGCTACCTATAATTTCACATGAAAAGTTCAACTTCAAAATTTGACCGCAGATCAAGGTCATAACCTTACTTGAAAAGTTCAAGTTCCTCATCAATCGATCCGTATGGATGACGTTAACACTTTCTAGACAATTTCATTGTTCTACCTAATCTTTCATATCTAAAGTAATGGTCGAAAAACTGATGTGAGCTATTTGATCTAACACCATGGGCGGCGCCACCGGCGGGGGGGGGACGGGGGGACCGGTCCCCCGCTATCGAAAGTTAGGGGGTACAGTACCCCCTATCGGCAAGGCCCATTCAATAGTTGATAATAAAGTGTTACGGAGTTATCCGTCGCATTTAATGCATCGTTAGTTAATCAAGGCAGGTTCTGAATAACCAATACCAATACCAATTTATTCAGGCAAATCCACTCATAATGACTGTTCCTTGCCATCAGCCAAGTTGTGAAATGCAGTGATATGAAAAGACATTCACACTTTCCATATGCACATTATCTAAAACGGGCATAAAAACTAAACTCGCATTTGCCAAAATAATTTTGCTATATAATTTTTGCATGAACTTTGATATGAAAAATATGAGACCTTTATTTTGTCATCATTTCCTCGTTAACATGCATCGAATGAGCTACCTATAATTTCACATGAAAAGTTCAACTTCAAAATTTGACCGCAGATCAAGGTCATAACCTTACTTGAAAAGTTCAAGCTCCTCATCAATCGATCCGTATGGATGACGTTAACACTTTCTAGACAATTTCATTGTTCTACCTAATCTTTCATATCTAAAGTAATGGTCGAAAAACTGATGTGAGCTATTTGATCTAACACCATGGGCGGCGCCACCGGCGGGGGGGGGGACGGGGGGACCGGTCCCCCGCTATCGAAAGTTAGGGGGTACAGTACCCCCTATCGGCAAGGCCCATTCAATAGTTGATAATAAAGTGTTACGGAGTTATCCGTCGCATTTAATGCATCGTTAGTTAATCAAGGCAGGTTCTGAATAACCAATACCAATACCAATTTATTCAGGCAAATCCACTCATAATGACTGTTCCTTGCCATCAGCCAAGTTGTGAAATGCAGTGATATGAAAAGACATTCACACTTTCCATATGCACATAATCTAAAACGGGCATAAAAACTAAACTAAGACAATAATGACGACAGCAATTAACTAGCAGTAAAACACGCATTCCTATGTTTCCTTCGTGCTGATAACCCGCTTGAGAGCGTGATTAAAATTGACAACTGTCATCGTACGCATTTCCACTGGGAGGGCATTGTACAGTATCGGTCCACGGTACAAGAACCGGCGCCTCCCAGTCTCCGTCCGTACACGTGGCAGACGCAGGTCATCATCATGTCGAGTGCTCCGTTCTCGTGCCTCACGGTTTGTTTGGAGTGAGGATGAAAGCGACACTGGTGTGTGATACACAGGCGCGCACACAGGATTTTTGAATGGGGGGGGGGGGGCACGACCTTCGAACTGGGCCCCCCATGCCGAAGGGCCCCCCCCCCCAAAAAAAAAAAAACGGCCCACGGGGCTATATTTCGGTTGGTTTGAAGCTTGAGCAATCAGTTTGTCAATGCATGGTAAAACAATTATTTCGGTACCAGCTTAATTTTCAAAACATATATATTTTTACGCTAGGCAGTTTTTTTCTCAAATGCGACTCAGAGCCGGTACATATACGTAACCATCTAATTTATTACGCAAAACATTTTATTAATGAACATTTTTGCAGGTCCCTCAGAAATCAGCCCCGGGCAGCGACTGACTGCCGGCCGGCCGACCGGCCCCGGGTGGCTAGAAGCAGGGACCGGTCGGTCACTGTTTGGCCCGGATGTGTAGGACCGGGAGCAGCACTCCTTTTTCACGTATATTCGCATATTTTTTAGGCACATCGACATGAAATGTCATTATATCTGATACGATGCGGGATCACAGACTAGAGATCCAGCTTATAACTTATATTTAATGCTTAACCAATGAATCAAATCAACAGGACTATGTACGATGCATGTCGGACACGTACCCAGAATTTCGCCCAAGAGGGGGTCACCTGCTGGTCACCTGACCCCGGGCCCGCGAGTCACCCGGGCGCCCGGGGTCAGATCAGGCAAGGATGTACCCAGGACCTTTCGATGGGAGGAGGGAGGCACGGTGGGTCCAGTCTCACTGGCAGACGGGTCTCTTTAAAACGGTCTTTGCATGAGAAAATGTGGAAAATTGGCAAGCAAAAGTATCATTTATGCCCGAGGAGTGTGCCTAATTAGCCCGCGAGTTGCTGGGGGGGGGCGTTAAACGCCCCCACTTTTTTCGCCGGGCCATAGCATAAAAACGGCGCGCCGCAGGCGCGCCAAATTTTGGGTACCTGTAGGGAATTGATTGAAGTTTATTGTGACAAAGTTTCAAAAAAATCGGTTGGAAAATTTTTGAGATATCGAGGTTTTAGTGACGTCATGATTTCTGAGTTTTCGACAAAAACGGCATATGTTCAAAAAATCATATAAAATCACAGAATAGACATACAGACATGCCGTAAACGCCATTAGACTGCCAATACCATGATCAATCAAATGGCTATCTTCGATTTTTGATTATCGTTCCGCATTTTCCATAATCTTGAACTGAATCTTGGCAATTTTTCGTGACTACTTTACGACCATGATACATGAATTTTTTAAGTTGAACTTTTTTAGCCAAACACGTACACATATGATAAAATGAATGTCACCATCGTCTTCTACGCCCCAAATTACCTATTAAACATGTGTCACAGGCTGCGAATATCAGTTTTGATTTTCGGGGATATGTGCCTACCCAGTTGACCTGACCTTGACCCTGACCTATGCTTGACTGACCCCTACATGGAGCTGAGACTCTTGTAGGCCTTATAAGATGGATTGTGCACCGTTTTGACAGAGTTTATGGTGAGAGTCGCCCATTGCAATGTCCTGAAATCCATGCTACTGAAAGCCCGATTTCAGGTGTTTGACCTGACCTTGACCCGACCTGTGACCTCAAAATTCAACTTTAAAGTACTCATCTGAAGCGTCTCGTCGCGCTCTTTCGTTTGCCGCCTCGTGCGTTTCGCTGCGCCTATTGGTTCTCGAGTTATCGGCTGGGGGCGTTTAACGCCCCCCCCCAGCAAACGGTGGGTGGCGAAATACCCCAGCAACTGCCGGGCTAATGTACACTAATGCCTAATTTACATGGTATTTTACGAGCGAGCGAAGCGAGCGAGCTCCTCAGAGTCACCGGTGTGTGGCGCGTTCAGAGGCGCCAGTGAAAGGCCGTTAGATGCGCTGGTGTTGGGTCCTCACAGGCGCCGTTGCGGGGTCTTAGGGCTTAGAGAGACTGGTGGGGCCATCATTGGCATGTGTGTGGCCCTGCAAAATGGCCTGCAAGTGGAAAGTGGCCCGTCATAGGCTGGCAAGGGCAAGGACACTCGGAGGCTGGTAAGAGGCCCTCAGAGTCACTGGTACGTGGCCCTCAGAGGCGTCGGTGTGGAGACTCTCAGAGCCGCCGATGTAGGCCCTTAAGATGCGCTGGTGGGGGTCCCTTGGAGGTGGGGCGAGGGGCCTCGCAGTTGCCGTTGTGGGTGCCTCTGGTGTGGACCGTGTGTCTATCACAGACGGATGTGGAGCCATAGCAGCCAATCCCTCGTTGGCCGTTACTACTTAGGGCCCTGAGCGGCCGGCGAAGTCTCTCAGAAACCGGCATTGGGCCTTTATGAAGATAATTGTGGCTACATAGGAGCCAATAACGTCCCCCCACAAGCCCTGTGGTGTCCTTCCGAGTTGAAGTGCGGCCAGCGCGAACCCTCGGCTTCCAACTGGCGCCGCAGGGCC